GAGTTGGGTGTGTGTGTGTGTGTGTGTGAGTGTGAGTTGGGTGTGTGTGTGCAACATCATGTAGTGTTATGAGTGTGTGTGTGTCTCTCTCTGTGTAACGTGGATCAGATGCTACATCACTTCCTGAAACGGAAGTTCAATTTCTAGGGCTATTGAGGAAAAGTGACAGCAGGTGAAGGAGAAATACTACAGTTCATGTTTATATACAGATTATTCCCTAATTCATTTTCCTTCAGCTTAATCCCTTTATTCATCAGGGGTCGCCACAGCGGAATGAACTGCCAATTGTCCAGCATATGTTTTACGCAGCGGATTCAGTTGCTAGCCAGTATTAGGAAACACCCATACACACTCAGACACACACACACACACTACGGCCAATTTAGTTCATCAATTCATCTATAGCGCATGTGTTTGGACTGTTGGGGAAACCGGAGCACCCGGAGGAAACCCACGCCAACATGAGGAGAACATGCAAACTCTAAACCAATTGATGATAATTTCAATGTTAATAGTATTATAATGATTATAAGAGTTTACATTTGAGTGTGTGTGCATATACAATCACTGGCCACTTTATAAGGTACGCCTGTCCACTTGCAAATTTCTAATCAGCCAATCACATGGCAGCAACTCACTGCATAGGCATGTAGACATGATCAAGACGATCTGCTGCAGGTCAAACTGAGCATCAGAATGGGGAAGAAAGGGAATTTAAGTGACTTTAATCGTGGCATGGTTGTTGCTGGAAGACGGGCTGCTCTGAGTATTTCAGAAACTGCTGATCTACTGGGATTTTCACGCACAACCATCTCTAGAGTTTACAGCGAACGCTCCGACACAGAGGAAATATCCAGTGAGCGGCAGTTCTGTGTGCGCAAATGCCTTGCTGATGGTCAGAGGAGAATGGCCAGACTGGTTCCAGCTGATAGAAAGGGAACGGTTGCCTGCTCTGATGAGTCTCCATTTCTGCTGACACATTCGGATGCTCGGCTCACAATTTGGCCTCAACAACATGACAGCATGGATCATCCTGCCTTGTATCAGCGGTTCGGGCTGGTGGTGGTGGTGTAATGGTGTGGGGGAGATTTTCTTTGGGTCCATTAGTACCAATTGAGCATCAACGCCACAGCCTACCTGAGTATTGCTGCTGACCATGTCCATCCCTTTATGAGCACAGTGTCTCCATCTTCTGATGGCTACTTCCAGCAGGATAACGCAGCATGTCATAAAGCTCAATCATCTCAGACTGGTTTCTTGAACATGACGATGAGTTCACTGTACTCAAATGGCCTCCACAGTCACCAGAGCTCAATCCAATAGAGCAGCTTTGGGATGCTGTGGAACGGGAGATTGGCATCATGGATGTGCAGCCGACAAATCTGCAGCAACTGTGTGATGCTATCATGACAATATGGAGCAAAATCTCTGAGGAATATTTCCAGTAGCTTGTTGAATCTCTGCCATGAAGGATTAAGGCAGTTCTGATGGTAAGGTGATCCTGTACTAGGAAGGTGTACCTAATAAAGTGGCCGGTGAGTGTATTTGTGTGTATGTGTGCTGATTAAGAGTCCACACACACTCAGGGAGGTCAGTGTGTGTGTGTGTGTGTGTGTGTGTGTGTGTGTGTGTGTGTGTGTGTGTGTGTGTGTGTGTTTGTGTGTGTGTGGTTTGTAGGTAAGCCGTCACAGTCGATAGAACAGCTTCATTGGGATGCACACATGAATGTGGAAGGCTGGTGTGTGTTTTATTCAGGTGGAGAGAGAGAATGTGTGTGTGTGTGTGTGTGTGTGTGTGTGTGTGTGTGTGTGTGTGTGTGTGTGTGTGTGTGTGTGTGTGTGAGGGGTTTCTTCATTGAGTTTAAAGAGTGAAGATTCAGCAGACAGACAGAATCACTGACGAAAAGACCATGCTCAAGATGATCCATTTGAAGAATATTTGTCTTTTCTATATTCTATATAGGGGCGTCACGGTGGCTCAGTGGTTAGCTCTGTGGCCTCACAGCAAGAAGGTCGCTGGTTCAAGTCCCGGCTGGGTCAGTTGTCATATCTGTGTGGAGTTTGCATGTTCTCCCCGTGTGGGCGTGGGTTTCCTCCAGGTTTCCCCCCTCAATGCAGATTTTCAAAGTTGTGATGTTCTTTCTGAGTCACCCTGTACATTTCCAACATTTGTCAAAATATCTTCTTTTGTGTTCAACAGAAGAAAGAAAGTCATAAAGGTTTGAAACAAGAGTCAGTGAATGATGGGAAAATCTTTATTTTTAAATGACTTATCTCTTTAACTCGCCATTTACACAGTTATTCAAACACATTTATTCAACACAAATGAGAATGTGATAGAAATGTGCTGTCTGCTGGACTCAGCGCTGCTCTTTCTCTGTTGGATTATAAGTGTGCATATTAAACAGCCTGTGTATGAGCCACTAATTGACATTCAGCACAGGTGTGTGTGTGTGTGTGTGTGTGTGTGTGTGTGTGTGTGTGTGTGTGTGTGTGTGTGTGTGTGTGTGTGTGAAGGTCAGTGTAGATCTCAGCACTGTTGCTCTGTATTCAGCAAACCTTTGATCTTCTGCTTTGTCCTGTGTGAACCGTCCTGACAGTGTGTGCACTCATACACACACGCACACACACACACACACACATATCTCGGGTCTTGTATAAACAATGTCATCTATGCAAAACTGACACAAAATAAAAGTCTAGCATTTATGTATATGTTTTTATATTATCAATGATGCATACATGATTACAAACATGCAGCTATCAAGGTTATAACCCTAACGAAAAAACGAAAACCAAAATGGAAAATAATTGTCGTTAACTGAAATAAAAATAATAACGAGAGTTTTTTTAAAAACTAGAAGCTGTATTGTGTACATACAAAACTAACTGAAACTGACTAAAATTATAGCAAAAACCTCCTTCGTTTTCGTCTTTGTGAATGTATTTAATACATAATCTTACTGGAAGCCGTTTAGAAGTAAATCTGATTCGCTGCAGCTGTTTGACTCCTCAGAGTCTGTAGTTCTGCTGCCATTGGCCAGATTGAGCCGGTTGTCCTCCAGTCATCCTCGCTGTTGCTCTCTCGAAAACAACGAGTGGACATGATAGCAGCACGGTGACCATTAAATACAGACACTTAAAACTATTACTTTAACACATTTGCACCCAATAATGGGTTTTATTTCTGTATCGCGATCGCCGATGTATCTTTTTAACCGGATCTTCTAAGTGAACCGGTTGAACTAGTTCACCAAAATGAACTGAATCATTTGAAACGATTTGCATCTCCAGTAAGAACTCATCCACAAACTACTTACTCTTTAACAAGCCTAATACCCCCTCTGACTCGAAATAATCCAATATACACTCTCATTCAGTTAATCATTCATTCATTCATTTTCTTGTCGGCTTAGTCCCTTTATTAATCTGGGGTCACCACAGCGGAATGAACCGCCAACTTATCCAGCAAGTTTTTACGCAGCGGATCCCCTTCCAGCTGCAACCTATCTCTGGGAAACATCCACACACACACACATTCACACACACACACTCATCCACTACGGACAATTTAGCCTACCCAATTCACCTGTACTGCATGTGTTTGGACTGTGGGGGAAACCGGAGCACCCGGAGGAAACCCACGCGAAGGCAGAGAGAACATGCAAACTCCACACAGAAACACCAACTGAGCCGAGGTTCGACAGCTGCACCACTGCCTCGCCTCTTATTCAGTAATTAGAACAGTAACATTACACTAAGATCAAATTTGAGAAGCGGTTAACTGGTAATACAGCGCATGCGTGATTCAGTGAACCAAACACAAACAGCACATGACTGCTGTGACTGAACTAAACTTGAACAACAGCTGGTCTTGAAGGAGAGCATCTGATGAAAAACTTAAGTTTATTTTATTACAGACAATCATAATGGAATTTAAATAAGTGAATCATGCTTCAGTTGGGTTGCAAAACTTTACTGTAAGACATTTTTCAGATCATGGTGATGTCTTAACTGACTGAAATTACTATTGCTGACTACATAATGTTGAGTCCAAACATCCACGTTAAAGATCTGAACTTCCCATCACTACTGTGTATCTAACCTCAGAGCAGCCTTGCACACGTATTGTACTTAAGGCTGCTATCTTGTGGGCTGTTGTATTTGAGGATGGGTAGATGGTATTGGTAGATGATGGTGTTCATGTGTCCTCTGAATACATGTTTAAAAAAATGTATGGCTGAGTTTTTACTATACAATATTTATCCTGTTGATTTTGAATCTTGCACCTAACAAATATCCTCATTTATAAAAAATAAAACTAATAATGAAACTAATAAAAACTAAACTAAATAATTTCAAAATATACAAACTAATAAAAACTAGTAATGTGTGTGTGTGTGTGTGTATAAATACACACATAAACACAAAAAAATACTAATACATGAATGTATATACTATAAAATATATATGCATATTTAATTCATTCTTTTGTTTTTGGTCCCTTTATTAATCAGGAGTCGCCACAGTGGAATGAACCGCCAACTATACCAATATATGTTTTACACAGCGGATGCCCTTCCAGCTGCAACCCAACACTGGGAAACACCCATACACACTCATTCACTCATACACTACGGCCAATTTAGTTCATCAATTCCCCTATAGCGCATGTGTTTGGACTGTGGGGGAAACCAGAGCACACTGGGAGAACATGCAAACTCCACACAGAAACACCAACTGACCCAGCCCGGACTCAAACCAGCAACCTTCTTGCTTTGAGGTGCCAGTGCTAACCCCTGAGCCACCGTGTCTCCCCCTGTCAAATAAACATGCATTAAATTCAGTGGGATATTCAGAGTTGCTCAGTGTTACATCAGAAATAAAGCAGGCATATTTCGCATGTTCTTGTTAATGTGTTAAACAGTGATAGTCACAATAATAACCACCTCTCTCTCTCTCTCTCTCTCTCTCTCTCTCTCTCTCTGTGTGTGTGTGCAGTATAAGCAGGTGGAGCAGTACATGTCCTTCCATAAGCTGCCAGCAGACATGAGACAGCGGATCCACGATTACTACGAGCACAGATACCAGGGCAAGATGTTTGATGAAGAGAGCATTCTGGGAGAACTCAATGAGCCACTGAGAGAGGTGAGGGCACACTGATGAATGCTGGGAAAACTGCATTAACACACACACACACACACACACACAAACACTCCATACCAGTGGTTCTCAAACTGTGGTACGTGTACCACTAGCGGTACGCAGGCTTCCTTCTAGTGGTACGCAGAGGAATGAAATATGTCAAGTACATGCTGCACACATTTCACAATTGATCAAAAATGATGTATATAATGTGCCATATATGACATATAGCCTATATTTCTGATGTAATCTGCCACAGTTGCCACAGAAGCTGAACAAAGAGTTCAACCACATCTCAGCAGAAATACTGTGTTTCTTGAATTGAAATAAATATGTGAATCTTCAGTCTGCAGCGTCAGTGTTGTGCGGTGCTTCATCAGTTTATAGCAGGCCTATGTGTGTACATTCTCCCTATATCTCAAACTAATCATGAAGAATGTTGTGGGTTTGTCACTATTTTGGTTTGTCAATGGAAATGATCCCTTACATAACAATGTCTGCCCGAAAATCAAGCACATGCTATTTCCTAAAATTAGTTTTTTTTAACTGTCTGCAGTAGTGTCTGATCACTGAGGACTGTGTTGGTCAAACCAAAACTAACAGCATTTTCACAAATATGTGTGTATGTTTTGACTGAAGTGTGTCATTTTGCAAACAATCTAGGAATTCTGCATATTGAGAGTGCTGTTTAAATAATTGTGATTATATTTTGGCATAAAAGAACCCGGTTTTCAAAATTGTGTGTAAATAATTGAAAAAAACTGTAAATGACTGATTCTGCTGGTGCAGAATATAGATCGCAGGTGCCCACAATTTAACGCAATTTAAAATGTGGAAGTGCGCCTGTTTTGGCGATTGTCTTAGAACATTCTGATTCAGTCGCCTATGGGAGAAATGACTAGGAATAATAAACGGCAGAAAACGGTCAAACTACTTGCTCTACAAACAAATGTTTGCATGACTATACAGAACAAGTAGAATTATATAATAAGGAAATATCAGTTTGCAACATCAAGTAGCGTAATGAGCAGTTTTTAACGTCAAAAAATGAATGGAAGTGAACGAGACTGGAAGTCTCAAGCCAAAAAGATTCAAATGGCAGCGCCCGCTCGTCTGCAGAGAATAAGGTGAACTAGCCCACCAGAATTATTCGCCATCCTGTTATTTTTTCTCCCAATTTCTGTTTAACAGAGAGCAGATTTCTTCAGCACATTTCTGATCATAATAGTGTTAATAACTCATCTCTAATAACTGATTTATTTTATCTTTGTCATGATGACAGTAAATAATATTAGACTAGATATTCTTCAATACAGCTTAAAGTGACATTTAAAGGCTTCACTAGGTTAATTAGGGTAACTAGGCAGGTTAGGGTAATTAGGCAAGTTATTGTATAATGATGGTTTGTTCTGTAGACCAGTGGTTCCCAATCTTTTCAGGCCGCGACCCCCAAAATGGCAATGCCAGTGAGTCGCGCCCCCCAATATATTCTGAGGTTGTTATAAATACAGAAACCTTGCATGCAATGGAGCACACACACCAATGGACCCAAGTCTATTCTTCTTTAATTTTTTTTTAATGTATGAGAGCTGTAAACGGGCAACAAAGTTTTACCAGGTGTTATGAAATCTGCTGCATTTGACACTATTGCTGTGTCTTTAATATAATGTAATTACCCCAGGGGTTGCAATCCAATAGAAGTAGTAACTATAAGCTACTATAGTAACTATATGGTATACGACTATTTTTTCTCTTCAGCAGGTTATGGATAAAATATGGTAATTTGTATGGTTTAATAAAATTAAATAGATTTTTGACAATCACCAGGCGACCCCCCTTCATTGTCCCGCGACCCCTCGGGGGGTCCCGACCCCCACTTTGAGAACCATTGCTGTAGACTATCCAAATAGAAATAGCTTAAAGGGGCTAATAATTTTGACCTTAAAATGTTGTTGAACATTGAAATGTTTGATCAGGAATGTTTTGCTGTTCACTTCACAGGAGATCATAAACTTCAACTGTCGGAAGCTGGTAGCGTCGATGCCACTGTTCGCCAATGCAGATCCTAATTTTGTGACATCGATGCTCACTAAACTTCGCTTCGAGGTCTTCCAGCCGGGCGACTACATCATACGAGAAGGAACCATCGGGAAGAAGATGTACTTCATCCAGCACGGTGTGGTGAGCGTCCTTACCAAAGGAAACAAGGAGACCAAGCTGTCGGACGGATCCTACTTTGGAGGTACAAATGATTTGCAAACATGCAGATTGTCCACACATTTTACAGTTTAAAACATTTATTTTAACCCTTGTGTGCTGTTCATCCACTCTGGGCTGATTTTAAGTCTTAATTTGGCCACAGCTTTCTCTGTGTTTGAATAAATGTGTTGCGTTGGCTAAATCTGATTAGCTGAAGTCGCACCAAAGTGACAGCCAGCAGAGCATTCCACTTGGTCTTACAGCCTTTGGATGGGTTATTTTCACTATTTATGATGGCATAGCAGTCAAAATACGTCCAATGAGCTCATGTATAGGACACATTTTGGACCTTTGTCAGTGAGGGGTGGGTCTTTTGAACCACCCAAACCTCCCTGGCCTGCTGTGTAAGTCTTAAAAAGATTTCAATTTGACTTTGTGAAACCTGCAGAGACCCTAAACATGGAAATGCAAAAAGTAGATCATGTTCACACACACACACACACTTGTGCAGCTATCCTTATAGGGACTTCTCATAGACATATTGATGTTTCTATTGTGCAGACTGTATATTCTCTACCTCAACCCTCACAGGAAACAATCTGCATTTTTCGTAATGCTTAATTCTGTGTGATTTATGAGGCGTTTTTGAAATTTAAGAAATGTCAAAATGTACCGGTATATTGCTATACTTGTGGGGACATCTGGTCCTTGCGATTTAAGGAATACCAGGTATACACACACACACACGCACGCACGAATACAGTGGAGCTCAGCCATTTCTCCGGCTTTAATATTCATAATGATGGATTAGCCAAAACAAAAGCTTTCTGCCTCTAAGCTCTCTGGACAGTCACCGAATCGTGGGATCGCCGCCGATAAGTGCCCTATTTCTGGGACATTAGCACAGATGCGTAGAAGGCAGGGTTTGGGTCATTTCCGGTTATTCTGCTCCTGTTGAAAGCGCTCTGTTATTCAGTTTCCAAGATGAAACAGCAGCTCATTTCTGTGACTGACAAATGTGCTTTCTGTTCACGCTGTTTTAGGCGTAATGAATAAATAAAGATGACATGCTTTTGTGTCCCAGCTGCACTGATGCTTTTGACAGTGTTTACTTCATTCATTGTGAATTAGAAAGAGGCGTGCATTTGAAGAATATGTACTGTAAATAAACACCAAATGGGCAGTTTTAGGGGTTTAGTTGATATGAATGTGTTTCTATTGACACAAGGATGGATTATTAATGAAAAGTGACAGCAAAGAAATGTGTAATGTAAAAAAAAAAGAGTTGACACTTAGCTGTTTGCTTATAAAGCTTGTTTGGCATGCTGTCACAGGAGAGAGCCCTGAGCTCATAAGATCCTCGAGCGCGGGGCTCCCTCCCATTTGCAAGGCAAGAAAGGAGTTTGTGCTCAGAAAGATCTGGAGAACTCCCCTGCTGTAGTAGCTAATGAACAGATAGTAGGGGTGTCAAAATTAACAGTGTCTTCGGTGCACCGCGATGCAGATGCAGACAATTCGGTATCGGTTCAGTAATAATCATAACCGGTTATTATGTACTAAAGTCATTTACCTCATATGCGCTCTGTCGCAAATTCAATTCAATTCAATAATTGCTTTATTGGCATGACAATTATTAGAAATGTATTGCCAAAGCAGTTATAAAGTTTACATAAAAAGCAACATACATATATATAATAAAAAATAATAAAAAAAACAGTACACACAGTAAATAAATACATAAAACAATACATTATATTATTCAATATCACATTAATATCACATTAATATTCAGTATATAATATTCAGTATATTATAATATTATTCAACATTAATTATTCATACAAATCAATACAAAAACAGATCAGAATAAATGTACATTTTTAGGATAAAACAGTGATAAAAACAATAATAATTAGTATATTTACTCTCTCTGTACTCTTCTCGGTGTGATTTTTCCTCCCCTCTCCTTTCCTCTCGGCTGTTACAACGATACTTCTGAATATAGGTCTGGTTTCCCGCGGCTGTACCTGTGCATTGACGCAGGACCAGACCAGATTTCATGCGGCGCGGGAATACATTTCTGAATAAATCGTGGTAGCGGTCGGTAACTGGTGTAATTTTAACAGGAGTGGGCGGTCTCACAATATCACTCCAGAGCGAGCAAGAAAGCAAGCACGTGCGTGCATGTGTGTGTGTGTGTGTTTGTTTGGTGCTGTCTATGTTTGTGAATGAGAGACAGTGTGGTGCTGTGTGTTTATACAGACAGCTTGTTATGCCTCCCCCCAAAATATAACACTGTGTATGGAAAGCATCGTTAATGCACCGTGATGCACCGAGAAACAAATTGAACCGAATCGATGGCATGATAATCATAACCGAACCATGAGACCGGTATAGGTTCACACCTCTAACAGATAGTGATCGCTCTTAAGAGATAACTACTTGCTTGGAGCATGTCTATGGTGCTGATTTGGATTAGTCAGTTAACTTAAGCTGCATGTTTTTGGACGGTGGGAGGAAACCCGGGGGAAACCAACATGAGCACAGGGAGAATTTGTAAACTCCACACAGAAACGTCTGCTTGTTTGGTAAAGACTGGAACCAGTGGCATTCTTGCTGTGAGGCAACAGCGCTAACCACTGGGCCACCGTGCCACCCATCTATGCAGAAGGAGGAGTAGGGGTGGAAGGGGGGATTCTTCAAAACGAAAATAGCAGTGGTACGTAACCCAGGGTATTTGTAGTAGCTTAGGAGTCATCTGATTGGTGCATTAAGAATTGGATAATGTGGATCCAGCCGCTAGCAATCATAAGCATGTGATCCTCTCCAAATTAGTTTATAAGTAAACTTTACTTATTATCTATATAAATAAGATTTTTGAATAATCTCATATATTAATGTTAATGCAATTGCTAACATTAACAATGAGCAGTATATTTTGACCTCATTCAGATGAATCTCTGAGTGCTGTCCATGGTTTAATTATGTGATCATAGTGTTTCAGTGTGTGATTTGTGTCACATCATTTAAGTTATCTTCTGACCTTCAGTTGAGGTCAAAGATCAGGACTGGTACTTTATTCTGCTGTTTCTCCTTCACCTCATTCTTATGGTTGTTTGCTGATGAAGTATTGACGCATTAGCAATATGTGACCTGCTGTGTGTCACTAATTACAGCTGGTGAACAGTGCAGGTGACCTCTGACCTCCAAGACAACATTCACTCCATCTCTAGCACAACACCAGTGTAAATCACACAAGCTTCTGACCGTTTAGAAGTCTTAAAGTCATTCCTGGCACCGAAGCATGCTGGGAAAGGAACGGAAAGCCGTGGAGAATTTGTTTTTTAACCTGAGTTATTCACTCATGAAATTAATTTATGTAACGCCTCTTCAGGGGGATGAGGCTGTTTATATTTATTACTTATCACATGATGCTGGCTTTGGCCAAAACAGCAGTGTAAGAACTACAACAAAAATCCCCTTAGACACTGCAAAAAATGCTTTTATTACTAAGTTTTTATCTTGTTTCCAGTTCAAATGTCAAAAAAAATCTTAAATCTGTCTTGTTTTCAGAAATAATAAGTCAAAATGAAGTGAGTTTTTCCTTAAAACAAGCTAAATGCACTCACCGGCCACTTTATTAGGTACACCTGTCCAACTGCTCGTTAACGCAAATTTTTGATCAGCCAATCACATGGCAGCAACTCAATGCATTTAGGCATGTAGACATGATCAAGACGATCTGCTGCAGTTCAAACTGAGCATCAGAATGGGGAAGAAGGAGATTTAAGTGACTATATGTGGCAGAGTGAGACTTTGAACGGGCTGGTCTGAGTATTTCAGAAACTGCTGATCTGCTGGGATTTTCATGCACAACCATCTCTAGGGTTTACAGAGAATGCGCAGACAAAGAGGAAATATCCAGTGAGCGGCAGTTCTGTGGGCGCAAATGCCTTGTTGATGAGGCCAGAGGTCAGAGGAGAATGGCCAGACTGGTTCCAGCTGATAGGAAGGCAACAGTAACTCAAATAAGCACTCGTTACAACTGAGCTCTGCAGAAGAGCATCTCTGAACACACAACACGTCCAACCTTGAGGTGGATGGGCTACAGCAGCAGAAGAGCACACCGGGTGCCGCTCCTGTCAGCTAAGAACAGGAAACTGAGGCTACAATTCACACAGACTCACCAAAACTGGACAATAGAAGATTGGAGAAACGTTGCTGCTTTGATGAGTCTCCATTTCTGCTGACACATTCGGATTGTCGGGTCAGAACTTGGCCTCAACAACATGAAAGCATGGATCATCCTGCCTTGTATCAGCGGTTCAGGCTGGTGGTGGTGGTGTAATGGTGTGGGGGAGATTTTCTTTGGCTCCATTAGTACCAATTGAGCATCAACGCCACAGCCTACCTGAGTATTGCTGCTGACCATGTCCATCCCTTTATGAGCACAGTGTCTCCATCTTCTGATGGCTACTTCCAGCAGGATAACACCATGTTATAAAGCTCAACCATCTCAGACTGGTTTCTTGAACATGACGATGAGTTCACTGTACTCAAATGGCCTCCACAGTCACCAGAGCTCAATCCAATAGAGCAGCTTTGGGATGTGGTGGAACGGGAGATTGGCGATATGGAGCAAAATCTCTAATGAATATTTCCAGTACCTTGTTAAATCTAGGTCACAAAGGATTATGACAGCAAAAGGGGGTCCAGCCCGGACCTAATAAAGTGGCCTGTGAGTGTATATTGCCAATGGGCTATGCATAATAATATTATTTCAAAGAGACAAGATGATCATTCGCACACTATTAGAAGAACTCAATTAATTTTGACTCATTCTTTCTGAAAACAAGACAAGTGTGCTGCTGTGCAGGTAGTGAGCTCATGCATGCGTGTGTATACATGTGTGTACATAGTGTGTGTATAATTGTGCACTTGCCTGTGTGTATGGGTGTGTGTGTGTGTGTGTGTGTATGCATGTGTTTACATGCATGTGTTTTTGTGTGTGTGTATGTGTGTGTGTGTGTGTTTTGTATGTGA